TTAATTGAATGGTTTTTGTTATAGGAATATTGATACGATCGAAAGAGGCATTGGTTTTGATTTTTTGACGTGTCTAGGATTTCTATTAACTGTAAGCAGTAATCTAGTAGCATCTTTTATTATCAATTGGAAATTGTCTTTGATGATGTTCTGCTGTATACCAGTTGCTTTTATAAGTTCATTTGTATTTTCTAAGGTATGATTTCTTATTGGATGAATTTGAAACTGAGAGAATGAGATAAATATTTGATAGCTCACTGCTAAAGAAGTAAAAAATGAATTAGAATCATATTCAAAAGCTGCACACATTGTTCAAGAAGTGTTTAGTTCATTACGAACTGTTCATTCATTGAATGGAAGTCGATTTGAACAACAAAAGTAACAACAATTGAGAGAAAAGAACGTTAGTTGATTATAAACACTGTATTTGATTTGTTTAGATACAATAAAGAATTAGATCCAACTTATTGGAGTAGTATTCGCAAAGGAGCTGTCTTTGGTGTATATATCGGTTGGATACGACTGTTAATATTCTCGTCCAGTGCAGTTGGTTACATCTTTGGTTCTATTTTAAAGTCATATGGAAATGAATATGCATTAAATATTGGTGATATCATTATCGTAAGTCATTGATAGAAATATTCAAGAAAATAAGAAATATTCATTGTTATATGAATAGGTTGTGAATATCTATACTCAATCTTTGTTTTTTCTGTATGTGATTAGTCCTTACTTTCAGTCATTTTCCGAAGCTCGAGGTGCAGCAATGTCTGTATTTCGACTGATTGATGAGGTAAAGTGTGATATATAATGGAGAGAAGTTTGAATGTTTGTTGATAAAATAGGGAGAAGATCGAGATGTCAATGAAAATGATTTGTTAAGAGAAAAAGAATCAATTTATGATATCACTGGTGATATTGAGTTTGACAATGTAAATTTAGTTTATCCATCTCGAAAAGATGCAACTGTCTTACATAATCTTAGTTTTATTGCTCGTGCTAATCAAACCACTGCTCTTGTCGGTTCAAGTGGTTCTGGTAAGTCTTCTTCTTCTCAAAACTAAACATATTCTCATTTGATGGTGATTATTATTAGGGAAAAGTACATGTATATCACTTCTTCTTCGTTTTTATGAACCTTCATCTGGTCGAATTATGATTGATGATCGATCAATTACAGATTATCATCGGAATCAACTTAGACTCAATATTGGAGTTGTTAGTCAAGAACCGGTATGTTTTCTTTGTTCATTTATTTATTCTTTTTGTTCTCATTGTATGAAATGACAGATTTTGTTTGGTATGACTATCTACGAAAACATTCGTCTTGGTAAATTGAATGCAGCACGCGAAGAGATCGAAGGAGCAGCAAAAGAAGCAAATGCACATGATTTCATCATGAAATTACCAAATGTTTGTATTGAAAGAAGAAATGCGTTATTTTTTTAAATATGATGTTTATAGAAATATGAAACAATTGTTGGAGAACGTGGTATTCAATTGAGTGGTGGAGAAAAACAACGTATAGCATTAGCTCGTGCTCTTGTCAAACAACCGACGATTCTTTTATTAGATGAAGCAACAAGTGCATTGGATAATGTTAGTGAAAAAATTGTTCAAGAAGCACTTAATCGAGCATCTAAAAGTATCTATACTCTCTCTTACTTTTCTTCATCTTCTTTTTTTACTAATCATACATTTATCTGATAGATCGTACAACTATTGTCATTGCACATCGTTTATCCACCATTCGAAATGCTCATCAAATCTATGTGATCGATAAAGGAAGTGTTATTGAAGAAGGAAATCATGAAACATTAATGAGAAAAGAAGGAGGAAAATATCAAACAATGGTTAAAAGTCAACAGTTAGAAAAAACGAATGATGATCAAGATGAGATAGTGAAGATGACAACAAGAACTGATGAAGATGAAAAACAGATCTGTATGTTGTTAATTATTATTTCTTTTCGACAAAGAATTTTATTTTTATTTTTGTATAGCGGAACGCACTCGTCTTCTCAGTAAAAATGAGTCAGTCCAGTTGGATAAAGTAGGGATCAAAGCTGCAATAGACTGTAGAAATCCTCGTTGTTAATTTGTCTTTTTTTCTAGAAAAGTTCCACATCATTGAAACAGACATCGATTTTTCTGAGACTTTTATCACTAAATAGTCCAGAATGGTTGTCTATTTTGATTGGTTGTGTAGCATGTCTCTGTAATGCATTATGTCAAACATTATCTGCAGTTTTGTTGACAAACATTATCTATGTGAATGATTAAATGAGAGATAAATTTGTTTATGTAAATTATCCTTTCTCTCTAGTCATTTAATGATTGTCAACATTCGAATATACGTCGTCAAGTATTCATTTCAAGTTTATTCCTCATACTTTTAGGTGTTCTTTTATTTGCTTTGCATATATTTCAAGTAAGAAGAGTTTTTCTCTGAGTTGCATGGAGAAATATGAGTTTATTTATATACCTGTAGAGTATCGCATTTGCCATATCAGGATCAAAATTGACTCAACGTGTTCGTTCAAAAGCTTTTGCTTGTCTTCTTCGTCAAGAAGTTGCTTATTTTGATCGACCTGAAAATAGTTCTGGTACCATCACTGTTCGTCTTTCTTCGAATGCATCAGCTATTCAAGACATGATTGGAACCACATTAGGTCTTATATTTCAAGGTTTTGCCTTATTCCTCTTTGGTTTAGTGTTTGGTCTTCTCTTCAGTCGACAATTAACATTGATCATGATTTTTCCTTTTGTTCTCTTGCTTATTAGTGCCTATGTCAATGTTCGATTGACCGTATGGCTAAAAACACGAACAGATCTTATTATTGGACGAGCAAGTTCGGTAAAATGAGATTGTTGTTCATTATGTAAGAATTGAAATATTTGAATGATCTGTTTGTTTTAGCTTGCTGTTGAAGTTCTACAAAATATGCGTACAGTAAAACAATTATCTATCGAAAATGAAATGTTACGACAATATTCACATCTGATCAATGAAGCAATGAAGTTAGTTCAGTGAACATCATACAGATGGGTAACGATATTTATTTCTCTTTTCTTTCAGAATATCTTGGAAACCTGAGATAGCATCTGGAATGTTTCTTGGATTGACGTGGGCAGTAGATCCAGTAGTGTTGGGATTTCTCTATTGGCGTGCAATAACTCTTATTGAAAAGGGTGAATTTTCTATAAAAAATATACTAATGTGATTAAAATGATAGATTTGTTCCTTTTTCAACTATATTCTTTTCTCTTGATGTTCTAGTGTCTTCGCTTTTGCTACCTTTGCTTTACAATCGTTTCGACTGATCGGGATATTGTAAGCAATGGAAGTGATATCTTTTTAGTTTATTCAGTTGTGTCTCATCATAGTGCTAAACGTATGGGACAATCGTTATCTGCGGCAAAGATCTTTTTTGATTTGTTTGATCGCATCCCCACTATTGACAATGCATCTACTAGTGGACAAGAATTAGTAAGTGAACATCGAGAATCATCTTCTTCTTCGATTGATCTTCTATGTCGTATATGATCTATAGGTTGATTTTGGTGGAGAGATCGAATTTGATCAAGTGAAATTTGCCTATCCAAGTCGACCTACAACAGTAGTTCTAAATAAACTTCAAATGAATATCAAATCAGGTAGATAAGCTGATATTTTGATGAGAGAAAGAAATAGATTATTCTTGTCGTTTTTGTTTTCGATGAGTAGGACAACGTGTAGGACTTGTTGGTATGTATCTATGAACATCAAGTCATTCTATTTTCTTCATTTGAAATCATATGATATAAATGCTATAGGTACATCTGGATGTGGAAAATCAACAATAATTCAACTTCTCGAACGATTCTATGATGTCACACATGGTCAATTAGTGAGTAGATCTTTGTTTTCGAGATAGTTCATTGGAGAGTAACGAGATAATAAATATTTGTGTGTCTACAATGAAATTAGTTTCTTGATGGTGTTGATATTCGAGATCTCAATGTTCAGTGGCTTCGTTCTCATCTTGGTCTTGTTAGTCAAGAACCAGTTTTATTTGATCTAACTATTGCTGAAAATATCACTTATGGATTAGAAAATGTTCCTTCGACAGATGAGATTATCAAAGCAGCAACTAAAGCAAATATTCATCAGTTTATTCAACAATTACCTCAGGTCAATATTATACCTACTTGTTGATTGATTCATATGATGATATACTTCTAGGGTTATGAGACAAGAGTAGGAGTGAAAGGAAGTTTTTTGTCTGGTGGTGAGAAACAACGTATTGCTATTGCGCGAGTGCTTCTTCGTCGACCAAAAATATTACTATTAGATGAAGCAACAAGTGCCATGGATTCATACAATGAACAAGTAATGATTTGTTTTGATTATTGAGACAGATTATATGAAGTTTTGTTTATTTAAATGAAAGGTGATCGAAGAAACACTTAAACAAGCTCAAGATGAAGATCCCAATCGAACATCATTGATTATTGCTCATCGTCTTTCAACTATTCGTTCCTGTGATATCATTTATGTACTTGATAAGGGATGTATCATCGAAAGTGGCACTCATGCAGAATTAGTTCAACAACGTGGCATTTACTATGAAATGCTTACTGCTCAATACAATTCATCATCATAGTTTTTTTTTATTTAAGAGACATATTTTCCTAAACAAAAAGAAAATGCAAGGGGGAAAAGTGATTTATGATTTTTTGATTAAAATCGATTTAAGGTGATTTTTCTGATTAAAACTGAATTAAGCTGATTTTTTATGATTTAAATTGAGTTAAGGTGATTTAAAACTCACGTAAATTAAGCACCACAACATGACTTTACGGTGGTTTAAGATTATTATTTCCCTAGAAATATGCATGGGGCATACAAATGCTTGTACTCATTTTTTGCTCAGCTAGTCTATCGAGTAATTACTGAACAGAGATAGGACGAGTACAAGTACACCAAGTACAAGTATAAGTCCTTTGTACTACGTTCATTTACTTTGTACTTTACTTAGTAACTTTTTACTTAAGTATTTTTTTACTTAGTATCAGTCAAAAGTACAACTGTACTTAAGTACTAGTAAAAAGTACATATTTTAAGTACTTTTATTCTTGAGCATAATTCGATGTTAACATAGTCTTAAATAACATTTAAATGATCCTGTTAAATCAAAATTCTCAGAATATTGGTCATATTCTCAACTAAATTTATTAAAAAAACTTGTTTTTCGAATTTTCTCTGTACAAGCTTCGTCTGTACTGATCGAAAGAGCATTTTCGAATGCAGGTTTAATTTTAACGGCGCGACGAACAAGAATGAATGAGCAGTTGTTTAAAAATATGGTGTTTCTAAGAGTAAATCAATCTTTATCATGAATTAATATTACATCAAATTTTAGGACAACTGCTCTCTCGTTTATTATATATTTTTAATTTATTTTTTGCACTTGCTTTTGTCTTATTTTTTTAAAGAAAAAGTTATTACAGTATTTGGTTGATGATTTTTTCTTTTCAATAAATTTTTTATCATTTATCTGAAATTTCTCACTGTATGTAAAAGGAGAAGTCAAAGAAAATATCTGCACACTTATTGTAAGTCACATTCAGATAAAATAAAGTTTTATGAACACAATGAGAGAACAAACATTACTAAGATTTGGGATACATATATTAATAAAAAAAATTTATATACGTAAGTTATACTGCAAAAGCCAGACAAAATGAAAAAATGTAAAAAAATATCTTGAATAATTGAAAAAATATTGCACAAATAAATGTACCAGTAGCGTTAGCATGTAAATATCTAATAAGAAACTGTTTAAGTACATTTTGTACTAATTTTACTGTACTTAAGTAAATGAGTATCCAGTACCAGTACACAGTAACAATTTCTAAGTACAAGTACATTTACTTGTACTGAAAAGTTATTACTTGTACTTGAGGTCTATAAGTAAAATACTTAGAAAGTACCAAGTTTTTTACTAAGTATCCTATCTCTGTTACTGAAGTAAGCAGTCAATTGGTATATATGAAAAGCTTAGATATGTACAAATATGCATGCCATAGTTTATTTAATGTATGTAATCTACATGTATATAAGTTTAGAACAAAACATTTAAAATGAAATGTTCTTCTGCATTTGAGTTACAATTTAATTAAGATCATGTATAATGATTGGAAGATGAGCTGATTGTTAGTTAACTATGTCAGTTAAAGAAATAGAAAAATGCAACGATCATTTTTTATTACACATATACAGTGTAGATCTGTAGAAAATAAACGATATAAAAAATTTATTTCGTGTGAACTCCAATTGATCGATCAGATGATAAAATAGGCTTTATTTTGGAAAATACCAGTTTGCAGCTTGTTTGTGCATAAATTTCTTTTGTCCATTCACTTCGACAGAAAAAAACGATGCACTTTGATTGCTGTTGATAGAGTCAAAGATGCGTATTCCACGAAGCGTCGAATTCGACACATTAAGAAGAACATCAGTATCTGACTCATCGCTTGGTCATAGTCATCAATATTATTATTTGCATTATACTGCTTTTGACTCAAATATTCTTCATAATCGTCGTCTTCGTCTTGTTTACTATTATTTGACTAATGATCTTTCTGGCTAAAAGTTCTACATTGTGATCTTGTTAATTTTTGAAATGCTAAAATATTCACCTCGTCAAAGGATATGGTTATCTCGTTAGGATCGAGAATCGACAAATTACAACCAGAAAGGATTTGACAAGCTTGAAGATAAGCACTAAAGACTGTATCTTGGATGAGTTTCTCTGTGAGTATGGTCGTTGTATGCATTAAAGCTAATTGATGCTTTTGTTGTGATTGTTTATGGTGTTTATGAAAGATCAGATTGTTATTATTAGATTCAGATGAGGACTTAATAGTTTGAAGAGCAGCCAGCTTCTCGACACGCTGAAGAAATTCGTTAATGGAAAAATTCATAACAGATGAGAAAGGGCCTGACATTGATCGCGCCGCTCGAAAGTGTGTTCGCATATCTGTGAAATAAATAGCGATACATTCAGAGCTTCTTCAGTTACTATTTGCTCTGCTACAAGTACTGCAATATATGTCAAGCTGTGAACATTTAGTTCAAGTGACAAAAGAGCCGGCATAGTTGTGAATAAGCTTGTTTTATAAATAAATGTCGTAGAATTGAATGGTAACAAATGTGAGATTATTTCCTGAAGATCAGCATAAGTGGTGATTTCTAACAATGAAGACCATAGACGACTATAAAGACAGCGGTCCAGGAATAATATAACCGATCAATAATAGTGGTGTGTTTCTCAACGAATGCCAAACGAGTAAATCGAACAAAATTCTTTTCGTTCTGTATTATTTAATTTTAAATGGAGAGACAAAAAGGAATTCTATATTAAAATGTTCTATGACTATAGAGGGCACATGTTTATCATAAAATCAAACCGAAAAACTGTTTGTTGTGCTCTACAATACCATATATGTATCCAATAACGTATGTAAACGTAATGTGTTTTAATTATGTCAGTTACAGTAGTAATTTCACAAAGTTTCTGTCATGAGTCGTAATGATTAAAAAATGATTTATACGTGATTTAAATGATTAAACAGTGATTAAATCATTAAAAACTGATTAAAATGATTAATTTGATTAAAATTTGATTTTTAACTGATTTAAATCAGCTTTTTCCCCTTGAGAAAATTTTTGTTGACTTTCATTATATATTTTCGCGTTAATATAGAGTAGAATCATCTATGCATTGACAGCTTAATACAGTTTCCAATATACTTTATCACATTTATTGATGTATATTATTACTTATCAATAAGTAATAGAATATTATGACTTGCATTGATGAAAAAAATGATGATATATGTGATTTGCTAAATCGATTAGACTATACAGGTGTAGTATTACAAGTTTTCTCAATAAGTTGATGACATAAAGTGTGTGGGTGTGGGTGTGGGTGTGGGTGTGGGTGTGGGTGTGG